TATGACATTATTTTCAAAACCTAAATTTTGTTACATATAAAAAAACTGCATATGCGTCTGTATTTTTTGATAAAATAAAACATTTTTTACTGAAATTTCTTTGAGCKTAGCATTATTTTGAAAAACATGCGTTTGTTCTGACGGATCCTGTATAATACATAATATATAATGTAGACTGTAGAGTATATAATATTATAAAAACTTGTTTAAACGGTGTTGYAAAAAAATTATATTATGATATGGATGAAACAATATTTATTATTACATAAATGTAATTGTGAACTTTTAAAAATTGTACTTTGATAAATTTTAATTTATTACAACTATGCTTCTCAAACTGGATACCGTGGTTATATGACTGGTTGGCCGTGAGTAAAGGGAGTTATATATTACTTCTCAATAGAGGAAACTCAATTCTTGAAACCCAATTTAATGAAAAAGAACTTAGTGAATTTTGGTTAAAACACAGCAAAAGTATCTAGTGATTTCGAAAGTGACTTTGCTTTTATTAATGCTTTTCACATCGATATATCTTTGTGAAACTGCATTTTCACAACTTAAAATTATAAAAACAAACATAGATCATGTTTTTCATAAAWGTCTTTAGAAGCAAACTTGCGTAATTCAGTTTCAAATATCACACCGTACATAAATATGTTATGCTAAAATATGCAAGTCCACCCGTCACATAATACTCGTTAACATTATTATTGAATATGTTTGTATTGTTTTATGGTAATTACCAATTCATATTTGAATTTTTTTCATTCGTTTTTGTTTTTATATGTCTAAAGTTTAATACTATTATAAAATTTATTAAAATACATTTGATTAACTATTCTTTTTAATAATTTATTTGTGTGAGATAATGCATGTTATTTTAGTATATAATTAATGATTTTTATTTAGGGGGCCTTGACAAGAAAGTTTGAGAAGCACTGTATTACAGTAAAAATTTCAAAAAACATTACATTGTTATAACAATGTAACGTTACAAATATATAAACATATACAAATCAAATTATTTATTTATTTTAATTGAAAGTAAATTGTATAATTCAAATCTAAAACATAACATACTTATTATTAATATTATTATTATATTAACAGCAGTTTGTTTATAATAATGTTGTTTCGGTAACT